CACCACCGGTCCAGGACCAGTCCTGCACGCTGCAGTACATGCCGTACCCCAGAGCAGGCCTCTTGGCTGCTAGGGGCTTTGGCCATTCACGTGTCGCGTAATGGACGATCGGGTCCATCCGCGGGCACAACGTGGGTTGTATCCTCCTCCTCCCTCGAGTGGTGGCGCCCACAGAGGTGAAGTCCTCCACCCTCTGGATCGGCTGCGGTGGTAGAGGAGCATCCATGATGGCCGCCGCAGTGGAGTGGAGCCTAGGCATGTGGTCCAGCGGGAAGCGGTCCGGCTCCGGGTTCGACACCACCTCGTCCAGAGTGAGGAGAGAGCCGATCTCCGAAGCCTCTCCATCCTCGCAGTCACCCTATTCCGCGGGCACGGGCAAGGTCGAGTTGTGCCCAGTCAATCTCAGACTCCTCGTCCTGAGAGGAGTCCGGACGGGGCGCTGCAGCGGCGAAGAACGGAGGAGAGCGAGACACGAGGCGCAGCTAGCGCTCAACGACGCATGGCCCGGACCCAGGCACATGAAGCAGCTGGCATGCTGGTCCGTGCGCTGGAGCCTGACCCGACACGCCGAGCAGCGACGACGTCCGACCCCGGAGGGCGAAGGGGAACTCGGAACAACGGAAGACATCTCAGAAGAAGTAAGTACTGTGGTAGATCTCAATCGGCGCCAGAGTGAAAGAGGGTGTGCGGCCTTGTGCAGGGGCCTTTATAGAGGAGGGTCGCTAGTGATTGGAGCAAATTATTTTGATCTCTCTGGCGTGTGACCTGGGGGTCACGTGATATCCCACTAGCGAAGTCCGCTAAGGGACGTAGCACCATGACGTAGAACTGTGTTGTGAGCTGGTCCACCGTTTAGATCTGTCATAAAACTGCAGGAGAGTAGATCTATTTCCCTTCATTCACTTTACCTTGAGACTTCCCTTAAATATAGCTCATATTCATGGGTTTTATTTATTTATTTATTCATTTGGATCCCCATTAGCTTCCACAGGTGGTCGCTAGTCTTTCCGAGGTCCACTCTAAAAAGGATCAATTCACATTAAAACATACAGTATAAAAGTTATTTACAATACAATGGAACATAATGGAACACAACTATTTTATATCATTCTTACACCTTCATTCAAGGTTTTTTTCATTGTTTTTTAGGTTTGAGTTGAGACCAAAGGGTGATGGGAAAAAACATTGGAAGAAATAATAAATTAATTATCTTAGTAGCTAATGTCGTGTTCTGTGTGTTTCTGTGATAGGCAGAAGTGTGAATTCTGGATGAGGGCTGTCATGCAGGGCATCCTGGGTAACTCCAAACACCCTCTGCATGACATTGGCCACTCAGAGGAGTAACCGTAGCAACAGGCTCCTATCACTGATAGATACTTTGTTCCTTCAGCTAGTATTGTTAGTCACTTTTGGAATTAAGTATGTATTTATGTTTGTATGGATCTTGTGTGCTCTGCTGCTGGACAACTGACTTTCCCCTACAGGATTATGGATCATCATATTCATCATGCGTCTATCTGTCTATTCAGTTCATCCATCCATCCATCCATTTGCTTCCCCTTAATCGATTTCTGGGTCGGGGGGTGGCAGTCAGAGCTGCACCCAGTACACATAGCAGCAGCCTCTCACTGATCCTCCTGCAGGTGCACAGTGGGGGCTTTTAGGCAATGTGGGATTAAGTGTCTTGCCCAAGAACACAATGGCAGCAGTCATCAGTGGGAGTCATGAAGCAGGTCTTGCGGTGGAGCATTGGCCCAAAGGCCAATGCTCTACCAACTGAGCTACTGTCGCCCCGATTTATCATCCCTTTTCAATTGAGTTCAATTCAATTCAACTTTATTTATAGAGCACTTTAAAAACAAGACAGTTGACCAAAGTGCTGAACACAAGTCTAAAAACACAATATAATATCAGAACATATACAAGAATACAAATTGCACAGAAAGTCAACCCACTGAGTTAAAAGCCAAAGTAAAAAGATGAGTCTTAAGAAGCGACTTAAAAACAGGAAGTGAGTCTGTCAGTCTAATATGCAGAGGCAGACCATTCCACAGTCTGGGGGCTGCTGCTGTAAAAGCACGATCATGACTTCTTGACTTCTTTCTGGTCTTTGGGACCACTAAAAGAACCTGGTCTCCTGATCTTAGAGCCCGTGACGGAGTGTGGGGCACAAGCAGATCAGTCAGATACTGAGGGGCCAATCCATGCAAACATTTGAACACAAATAACATAATCTTAAAATCAATACGAAGGTGCACAGGGAGCCAGTGAAGAGAACAAATAATAGGGGTGATGTGGTCAAATTTGCGCGTGCCAGTTAAGAGTCTGGCACCATCATTTTGGATTAATTGAAGGCGTGAAAGTGAGGTTTTTCTGAGTCCGGTATATAGGGAATTGCAATAATCTAAACGAGAGGTTATAAAAGCATGGATTAAAATTCCAAAGTTTTGACGAGATAAAAAACGATTTGACTTTGGCAAGTCGCCTCAGTTGAAAAAAGTTGGTCTTCACAACAGCACTGATTTGGGCATCCAGTTTTAAAGAGGAGTCCATTTTCACTCCTAGATTTGTCCCCACTGGGCTCACAGCCTGGGCCAGGGGGGCAAGCTCAGCAGGAACAGCTGCTGCAGTGTCCGTGGATGAGAAAATGACGACCTCTGTCTTCTTGTCATTAAAATGCAACAAATTAAAAGCCATCCATGTTTTGACCTCATCCAAACATACAATCAATGACTTGGACTGAGTCAGTGGCACGTACAATTGAAAGTCGTCCGCATAAAAATGGAACAACACTTTATGTTTTCGAAGAAGCTCTCCAAGAGGCAACAAATACAATGAAAACAGTAGAGGTCCAAGCACTGACCCTTGGGGAACCCCGCATGTAAGTGAAGCCATGGAGGACTCGGCATCACCAACCTGGACGGAAAACCTCCGGTCAGTCAAATAGGACCTGAACCAGGACAAGGCTAAACCTCTGATGCCAACATAGTTCTCCAAGCGGGACAGCAGTATGTGGTGGTCCACCGTATCAAATGCTGCTGTCAGATCCAACAGAAGAAGAGCAACAGTGTGCGTCTGTAGCCAGAAAAATATCATTAAAAACCTTTAAAAGGGCCGTCTCTGTGCTGTGGCCAGCTCTCCAAAATACCGCTACTGCTTAAAAAAATCTGTGAGTTGCGTAAACACTATTTTCTCAAGCATTTTTGACATCAGAGGGAGCTTAGAAATAGGTCGATAGTTGCTTAGCTCATTAATATTGTGACAGCCAACACTAATGTTGTCTATCTGTTGGAGGTGCAGTGCAGAGGAGGACCACACGGGGGAGCTGCAGGCCTAGCAGCTCCTCCCTACAAAAGAGCCGCTTCTTTTTGGAAGCCCTCCTCTTCGGAAGACCTCCATCTTGGCCATGCGGCAGCCACCACACCACTATTATATTCTCTGTTTGTTATATTGTTTACAATAATTGGCCCGACAGGGGTTCTGAATATTGGTCCGTTGTCTCTTCCCCATCTTTTTATGTTACGGCTTAGAGCCGGGTCGTAACATCTGGGGGCTTGTCCGGGACGCACACAGGCGTGGTGCGTTTGGGTTGCAGACACAAGGTCTGAGGCCAATGAAATGGTGATCCAAGTAGCAAGTAAGCACATTCCCCCTCTTATGTTTTGGTGGAGTCCTTTGTTAGCTTTGTAGAGGGGTGTTCCACAAGGAAATGCACCTGTTTTTGTTTTGTTTTGTTTTTTTGTCAGGGAATGCAGTGAACGCGGTTGTCAAACTTCAGTTTGGGAGCGCACCCATGAGCTGTGGGGGTGCCAGTCCATGGTGCCTCTCTAACTCATTGGGCTAGAGGTTGGGTGGTTAGACCCAACCGCAGCGCCTAAATACCCGCCGTACGGGACTGCAAAAAGACTAGGTGAAGCAGGGTAGTTCTTTGAATGGTTAGGGCGGAGGACTTCGGAGGGTCATGTTGGCTCTGAATTTTTGGGGGGGGTGTGCGCACTTGTCTAGTTGGTTCACACTTGTTTCATTAAGTCGTGGCTTCAACCTTGTCTTGGTGTATTCGTGTTCATGTATTGTGAAACATGGTACTGGGGGAAAAGACAACAGTATAAACTTACAGCAGTGTTTTTTTTTTCTTCTTTTTTTCTTTTTCTCAGTTCTAGAACAGCTTTTCTTGGTGGTGGCTGTTTGAGGCCTCATGCACGTATCTTTTCTCGTTCAAGCGATATCCAAGTTATCGCTTGTTAGTTAAGTCAAGAAGGCTTATTTTTCATTGGAGCAACAATGTCCAGCGGAGCTTTGCATGCATTATTAAAGTGGATGCATGATTCTTCTGCGTCACCATGAATGAGAGAGTTCACATTAAAGACTGCAGAAAAATGCGCACTAGTTGTGGGGTTAATCGAACAACCAACACGCACGGGGACACATTTTTTAGTTACTCCGCAGGAGAGGGCAATCTCAAACAATCTGACTGTCTGACATTAGATGGAGAGAGTCTATGGGCAAGGACGAGATCAAGCGTGTGTCCGCGCTCATGTGTGGAGCCACTTACACACTGTACAAAATCAAAACATTCAATCAAACTCAAGAAGTCTCTTGCCAGTGGCTTTTCAGGGCAGCACACATGAATGTTAAAGTCCCCAACAAGAAGGATACGGTCATACACAGGCACATATTCAGACAGTAACTGCGAAAAGTCATTAAGGAAGTTTTTGTTGTATTTTGGAGGTCTATATACAGTATCACTGCACACAGCATTGGTGATGCAGAGCTAAGTTCAAACAGAAGCATCTCAAAGCTGGGAAATGACACCGAAGGAACAAGCTGTTTGCACATAATGCTACTTTTAAAAACTGTTGCTAGACCTCCTGATATCCTCGGGGAGTTAAGAAACAAACAGTCAGGTGGCAGCAGTTCACAAAAAGCGCTCGACTCACCCACAGCTGCCCAAGTTTCAGTCACGCACATGAAATCCATTCCTCTTGATTCAAAAAAGTCGCTTATGATGAAAGTTTTATTCGCCAGCGAAAAAATTTGCTGGAGCAAGAGCGGGTGCATTTGCCGTGGGCGTAGTCCGGGGTGGCAGACGGAGATTGGGCAGACACCACGCGCGCGGGGAAGAGAAGCCGGGACACAGCGCTCAGGAACACTGCCATCGAAGCCAACCACAGGAACCAAACAGGGGCGTGTTGCATCCAGGGTGCGCCAGGGGATGAAGCGACGATATTCCCGTTGGATCTCCTGGGATGTCACAGGAGAACGAGCCACCAGGGCCTCCAGCTTCACCAGTTTCCCTCCATGTTTGCCACGGCGCCTGCGGCGCCTGGGTAGATCTGGCGCACAACGAAGGTAAGCCGGCATTCCAGAAAGGAAAGGTGGGGAAAATGCGTTGTGATCGTAATAATCAAATGTAAAGAAATTGTCAACACATGGTTGTAAATCCAAAAGTGTTTGGCGATCATACGTCAGTAGGGATATGACATTTACTCTGACAATTGATAAGAACAGCAAAAATACAAGCACATTACGCAGAGACAGATGACAGGCCGCACACACTGGTGCCATCTTGATAATACATTTTCTATCTCATCGCGGTCAACTTTTCTAATTAGTTTTAATAATAAAAAATTGGAAACAGACAATAGTCTGATCTTTTACAAACCATTAATACATTATCTAAAGACTATAAAGTATCAAACCAATTTCCAAAGAGCTCTTAATTCTTATCAGCAGAAGCGGACATTCGTGCTTATTCAATGAACATGGGGATTAACTGGTATTTGTGGAGTGGCAGAATAATGTTTGGCTGATACCTAAAAATATCAATATTCTCTCTAAATTGCTAAATCTATTTTTAGAAACATTTCCTTTGAATGGAGGAAACTATGATTTGTAAACGTGTAAAGTAATAGAAGTATATGATGGTCTCTAGTGAACCAGTAAAGCAGACGTGTCAGGGAGTTCATCTGTGGAATGGCCTGGATTCAATTCAATTCAAATAACTTTATTTGAATTGAGGAAGTTCATTTGCAGACAGAGTGCCAGCGCCAGAGGGAATTCACAGAAAACAGACCCAATGATACAAAGATACATTAAAAGTGCAGAAATGCGGAATAAAATTCATCCATCAGATCATAATCTGTCTCAGTGGAAGCAGACCGTGCCCCATTCCACTGTTTAAAAGATGGATTGGGGAAAAGAGGAAGTCTGATGTGGTTAGTCCTGAGTGGGAGGGACCTGTACCTGCGCTCCAATGGAAGCAGACTGTGGTGTGTGACAAAAAGTCTCTAAAATATAAAGTACTACAGAAATAACATCTTGGCACAAATGGTTCAGCCGTGTGTGAGCATCTTTACAGGGATGTTGGAGATTTGAAGATTATTGTACATGTCGTGGACACACTTTGGACTTGTCTGAGTGAGGGTGGTCTTCCCTTTTTCACTTTTCTGTTAGAAAATTCTGTTTTAAAGAAATGAAAGAGGCTAAAAAAGACCAGTGATTGGAAACAAACTGTTTTGAGAGCGAGAATCTTACCTGATACATTTTATTTCATAGGTATTATGTTGTGGTTTGAAAGTTAGGTACCCGAGCTTTAATATCTAAAGCTCATAATTATATAATTTACATGATCATTGGGGCTCTGCAGTAAATATATGGTGCGGTATGTCCCTGCTGCAAACTCACATCCCACATAATTAAAGACAACAAAGGACCACAACAAAACAGTAAAAAAGCAGAAATTGTTATTTTCATCTGACGTAAACAACACAACTTTAAAGTCCTGCAGTACATTCTCTCACATGTGATTGTGTTATTTTCAGACAATCAAAGCAAAACTAATTAACAAACGGACACAAACCGCAGCAGGACTAAACCGCCGCAATAAACAGCCGATAAAAACAAAAGTCAAAAGAGGAAAGCAGCAGCTGCGCCACACACGGGTTGAGCCTTTCTCCTCACAACTTGGCCTGAAGACAAAAGCAGCTAAAGCAGTTGTGGCTTTGTCTGAAGATACAGTGTGTTGTTTTATACAGACAAAAGCTGGCCCCAGAGACACAACCAGGCTTTGGGCTGCACCTCTGAGCCTGGGACCAGAACAACAAATGCTGGAAAAATACATAAATGCAGGATAGATGATGCATCTGTCCATATTTGTCAGTCCCAATACCAATGATGTGGGTTTAAATATGCACCAATCTCATAGTAAGTGAGCCCAAACTACTCACAACGTTTAAATAATGAAAATATAACCAACAAAATAAATCACAGATATGTTCAGTGATAAATATATAATATGATAAGTCAACAAATACAATATTTGGCTGACCAGAGTCACAAAACGCAACCAAACTGGACTTTACCCCACACGGAAATAAAGAAATGGACGTGAACCAGAGATTGGGGGGGGGGGGGGGGGGGACAACAATGGGTTAGGTCTTATTAGTCCAGTTTGAGATGAGCCAAGCAGTGAAGGCCCCTGCAAGCCAACTGTGCAATCTGATTAAATTTGTATATAGATGCTCACACCCCAACCTCCGAGCAGCCGAGAAAGAGTTGAGACGAGGCCCCCACAGCCCACACCTTTTACCCACACTCATAGACCGTCCAATCAGGAGCTGCCATAGCGCCAGTAGCTTCGGCCTTCAGATAACCAAAATATCCAAGTAGAAAATCACCAGCTCCTGCATAGTGTTGTAAGAATTATGAGTTTAACTTTAACCAGTTGCTTCAAAGTGGTATGAGAGATCCAAAGCCTCTGTCTGGTTCTTGGACCGAGCTGCATCAGTGTCCAGATTGATTTCATACCCCAGAGCCCCTCGTCTTCAGCAGGGGCTCTGGACGCCGACGTGGACACAGCTGATGGTACAGGATTAACGAGGATCAGGTTGGGGACTGCAGCCATAGGATTCCTCAAGGTTTCATGACGCTTTGTCTTTGTCAAAGAGTGGTTTGTTCCGCTGTCAGACACATATAATCCTGTACTCTGGGAAGGATTAGAGTGAATCAATAGCGACCCCTCGCTGAGCATGTGTGAAAGCTGGCACCTGCCCCTCACTGAGTTAACACCAGGTTTAGCTTCACAATCAGCTGGATGAATGGGAGCGAAGTCTACAAATCATGTAAGTCCGGGAGCGCAGCATGAAAAACACTGTGTAAGCATTGTGTAGTTTAAGTGGCTCTTTACATGGCGTTTATCTCTGTCTCTTTAATTGGGTGTGTCGAGAAATGAAGAGAAGGCAGCAGTGATTGCACCTGTACACGGTTTATTTTCAGGTGCCTCCAGATCAAACAAAAAGAGACTTTTTATAGGATTTGTGCCAATGTGCAGAAGATGGCATCACTTTAGATATAAATGACTCATGCAGCCCGCGGAAATTCAATTTGGTAGACGTCAGCCAAAGTTACCCCCTCCAGGCCGGTTCACATCCCCAGCCTATCGCACAGCAAACGCCCCCTTCCAATCACCCGTACCGGCCAGGCAGCCGCTTAAAAGCGGAGAAACTCCCACTTCACGGCCTCCCGAAGCCTTGCAACCACCGCCTCCCCTCCTCCTCCTCTTCACCCTGCCTCCAATCTGCCTTCAATCTGCTTCCCGCTGCCAAATGCCGCCACCAGTGCCTAGGTCCCGGGGGATTGGCGCGCTCCATCGCAGGAGCCTCTCCGATTTGAAGGCCGCACCGGGGCCTAGGGCGCCAAACCTCCTCCCAATAAAATACTCAAAAGCTTCTTGTTTTCTCGTCTCTCCAAATTGAAATGCTTATGATGTGGATTCTGTAGTTACAATGTGTCAGAATAATTATGTTCAGTTCTTCAGATAATAATGTTTAGCAGTAATATATATACAGTATAACAGGGGTTCACAGTACAAAATATGCTGGTCATATTGCACAGGAGCTAAGATTAATGTGCAATATATATAGTTAGATACAGTGCAATACCATCGCACTTCCCTTAAACATTGAGCAACCCATCGCTGGCTTGTCAGAACAACTTGCATTTCAACCAATCACAAGTTTTCTTTTTGCCAAGGCGTAAATAAGTGAACCACTATTGGCCAAAAATATCTGTGACTGGTTTCAGTGAAAAACTGGCAAAAGATTCAGAGGTCTCGGGTCATGTCTCAGCAGAAGGCGTGGTTGGATCGCGGCAAAACATGACCAGGGCCTTGGGACAAATGCAAGACATGGTTTTCAAGTGTTGGGGACTTTAAGGTCACAGTGACGTCAGTTCTGTGTATGATGTTTGGACTAGCTAACACCTGTGGGTGGTTGTCTTTGTTGTGATGCTCTGTGTCATATAACATGATATGTCTGAAACAAAATCCACCGGGACACTTGTACGTAGGCTCCTTGTTTAAGTCTCTCATTTTCGTCGAGGTAACCAAAAGTAACGACCAGCTCAGTTTATACATAATTGCGCAAAATGTCTCTGGCCCGATGGCTTTAATCTCAGTTTTAGAGCCTTTTTCATGACAATGTGCGTCACAACAAAGACACCATTCCTTGAGATATTAATCCAAATAATTTTGACATGCGCAAGGTTACTGTGACCTTGCATTTCTTGAATCTGAGCCTATGAATAATCTTCATGTTTGTCCCAAGACCGAAACATGGAGACTGTTTGAGAGAGCTGGTTCCATACACACATTCATACACAGAATTTGATCATAATGAACTGTATGTTGTCCCAGAAATATGCACGTCCTGGTTTTCTGTGCACATTAATGATAAATGAGGATTTGCAATGCATATTGTGAGGTCAATACACACTGGGACATGTTTCTGGTCTGCAATATTTCTTGATGAATTGGCATGCAGTGTCTTGATGGCGAGAGAGACAGAGGGTGAGAGTACAAAATTAAAAACAAATAATAATCCAAAGCAATAAATGTAGGACAAAAATGGTAGTGACAGCGGTGGTTGATGCAACGTTTTCCAATAATAATTCCACACTGGAGAATTCAAGACCATAAACAAAATGTATCGTTCACTGTCTATGGTTATTAACAATTAACCTTCATTGCTTGTACGAATATACTTACAATATCGGTTAGCTTTTATGTCTTATTTTATATTTGCTGTTATTCTGGACACACCACATCTGACCTTCCGACAATTGAACACGCAATTAACCTTTACGCCCGTTTAGCTACGAGCTTGCTTCATTACTTGATTACATTTTAATTACAACCTTAAAATCACCGAGCAAAGAGGCTCGTCAGAAATCAGCTAATCTTTGCGTAATCGCCTAACGGTAAATTAAATCTGTTTGGGAAATTCACTTATCATGTCTCCAATGAGCAGATTCACTACACTGCAATATGAACTGAGAGACTAAGGGGCGGCAGTAGCTCAGTTGGTAGAGCGTTGGCCTTTGAGCCAGAAGGTCGTGGGTTCAAGCCCCGCTCAAGACTTTCACCATCGTTGTGTCCTTGGCAAGACACTTAACCTCTGTGGCTGGGAACACCAGCCACAGTGGGGTGGCTGCCGCTGTAAAGTGCCAAACTGCCGTTGTGTCCTTAGGCAAGACACTTCACCCCCATTGCCTAGAATGAGTCTGGTGTGTGTGTGAATGGTTGGTGGTGGTCAGAGGGGCTGATGGCACATACTGGTTGCCTCGCTTCTGTCAGTGTGCCCCAGGGCAGCTGTGGCTACAGTAGTAGTTTATCACCACCGTGTATGGAGTGAATGAATAATGACACATGTGAAGCGTCTTTGAGTGTCCAAAAAAGCGCTATATAAAACCGATGCATCATTATTATTAAACTTTGATGAAAGGTGTGGTCTTTGTAGTTACAGCGATAGAAGACATGTGTTTGAATAGAACTCTGTGAAAACATAAGATATTATTCAAATTAAATCAATTTCAATTAAAAAGTTCATGTTGCTTTTTCCGTTGCCAGGGCAGCAGTCTAAGCAGCTCTTTCACTTGTGCAAGGACTTCCCACAACCTGGAGAGAGGGCAAGGCACCTTTTTCCAGTCGAGCAGCATGGCCTCTGATGTGGAGGTGCAGTCTATGGAAAGTACTGTTCTTCCAAAATCTATTTAATAATAACTCAAAAGATAATAATAACAACAAATTCAAAGAAGGGCATTCAACATCATTTTGTAATAAACTGCATGGTGCAAGGAAGAGTTTCTCCATGACTTTGTTTCAAATACCAAAGCAGGAAATTTGCATTTATGTAAGTTTTTAGAATCTCTTTGCTCTGGGATTAAAAAAACAAAAGCAGATGTTGTTTTGAATAATTTATGCAAAGATGAACAAACATTTCCCTATGATGAGGTGGTTCTTAATATTCAAACCAGTAAGACAGACCTATGGCACCACCTGCGTTCTGTCACCCTCTGAAGCTAAGCAGGGCAGGCCTGGTTAGTATTGTGATGGGAGACCTCTGGGAACAGACTGTTGTAGTGTTCTTAGACAAGACTCTTCACCCACATTGCCCAGAATGAGTCTGGTGTGTGAGTGAACGGAGATGGTGGTGATCGGAGGGGCTGATGGCACATACTGGTTGCCTTGCCTCTGCCCCTGGGTAGCTGTGACTTCAGTAGTACTTTAACACCACCGTGTGCAGAGTGAATGAATGTCACGCAAATCTTCTTTGAATCTCCAAAGCGTGTTTAATTATTAAAGCGCACAATATTATTATATTATTACTATTGACATTATTAAGTAGGTCGATAAAATCCAACTCGTTCTCTCGCTCTTAAAACAAGCTTGTGCTTTGACCTCAATCACATTTTTAGACCCACATTTTCTGTCAGAAACATGATAAAGAGAGGACCCCCCTCACTCAGCCAATGAACTATCAGCTCTCTTAAAAAAAGATCTCACTTTGATATTGTGAGAACGTGCAGACTGGGCAGATCCGTGCAGAGTCAAGCCTGTCTAAAAACACCTTTATATGCGCAGAGAGACAGGGAAGGCTTTGACATTAACCCTGTGGAATTAGAGTCATCTCAGGTGTTGCATGTTGCTCCATCACAGTTTTCCAGAAAATACAATTGCTTTTATCGCAGACGCTGGGCTAAGTCTCGCTCCCACAGCCACTGAGGAGGCAGAGGCTCCGGGAGAAGGCCCTAAGCCGGATTGCTTTAAGATCTGCTTAGCCATTTTCGGGGAAAAGTGGAGCAGCTCTTGTCAAGTATGAATAATGAGGCAGACACGGAAAAATGGAATAGGACACAACATGGAAATCGAGATTAAAGTGTTAATCTAATTGAAAGCATTCAGCTAACGTACACAGCGCACACATTTTCATATCAACACAAATAATTATTACCATATTTTTTCTTAGAGTCTAACGTATATGTGCGTATGACTGTTTGAATATTGACCTAATTTTGTGACAACTGCCTAAAATACAAGTGATAGTTGAACGGCAAAGAAGCCAGTTTGTGAAGGAAATATTAAAAATAAGCTGACATTTCCAGGAAGTAGAGTTTTAGATATAAACAGAACTTATCCTTAAGTTTGGCATAATTTGCAACACATTATTTTGACACTTGATTGATTCACTCAATTCATAATCATAGTCTCGTAATGTAATCAGTGTAACACTAATTACTGGGGTGATTTTTGGCTCGCTCAGTAACGTCCCTAGCGCTCATCCGTCACTGCCACAACGTAACATTATGAATCCAAAACAAACAAGGATGACGGTTATAAAGTCTTTTGCCAAATCTTAAATGTGATGAGGCATATTGTGTTTTGTGGAAAGTAAAGTCCAACCTGAAAGTGCATACAACTGAGGGAGTTTATCTTTACTAGTTGATAGATATTTAAGTGATATTTGGTGTATACTTTAAGGTTAATGAGCTCTAATGTTGTTAAGCACTCATTAGTCTATAGTCTACATGTGTTAGGTTTTTTATACTTTATTTTGACTTTTGTTCTCT